ACACATTCCGGGATGATCTAATAAACTTGCCTGAATGTCTGCAAAATCCCATTTGGAGTGGCTCATCCTTGGGAAGATCCTTTCCCCCCTTCACTTCCGGTTTCCCTGCTATCTCACATTTCCATTTCTGTGCGTGTTGTTGCTTCTTGAATCTCATTACAATTGCAAAAGGCAAGAAGCCAAAGCTAAGAATACGCATTTCATTTGCAAGAAGCCCAGGCCCCACTAGTTTTCCCATTTTCTGACCCCGAAAGGAGCTTTCCCCCCTCACAACTAGCCGGGGAAAACTCAGAAAAGCCATCTAAAAGTTAATTACAATTGCCTCAGCCAGCTCTGCTGCAACTTTAACTGCCGCAACGAGTTCGCATTAAGAAGAAACGAGGCGAATGAAAAAAAGAAGAAGAAGGAGCACGTTAAGGGTCCTGAAACAGAGAAGATCGAGGAGGCAGATACCCTGGAAAATTAGGGGAAAAATAACAACATATAGCATACATGGAGAGGAGGGTTTTCCCAAAGCAATATTGAAACAAAGTAATTATGAAATGGAAAATATTCAAGTAAAGGCTTTATTTAGTCTAATAATTAGTTGAGAATTATGAGAATATGTTTAAGGATATGTGCATATGAATTACAGGGTATCTCCGGGAATAAAACCCCACTCTCGGAGTGAAGTTCAAGCCGTAAGCAGTAATATCAGAAGTAACTACGAGTCACAGTATCTAACTGCTGCAGTTTTCGCTGCGAGGGGGCATATAAATATTAAAAAGAAAATCTGCTACATGGCTACGTGCGACGCATTTCAACGCAACCAACGCGACCTCAGTGAACCCCCTCCGCTTTTCCACTCCCCAATTTTCCCCACAAGCACACACACACACAGGGAAAAAGGATAGAAAGGAGGTCGGGCATGGAAAAAAAATGAAGAGAAATTTACTTTGACATATTTTTGTGCTTAGCAAAGCAAATACTTTCATTATTTTTGCTGTTGGGCACAAAATTTCCCTCCGGCTGTAATCACCCACATCACACATTGAGGAAAAGCGGGGGGGAAAATGGGGGCACTGCATTTGAGTGGCTCAAAACATTCTGCGGTCCACGCCCACAGCTACCACCGGAGTCTCTCGGCTCCCGTTTGAGTGGAAAATGATGGAAAAATCGGCACACCCTCCCCCTCCCCCACACCGCGCACTTTTCCGAATGACCCAAACGTGGACAGCAGCATCTGTGGGCGGATCTCGTTGGGGGACATGGCATCCGCCCACTGTTTGTAATTTTCCCTGCCCTAAAACCGAATTCTGTTGCTGATTTCCAGATAGGTCACGGAAAAAGTTGCCAAAAAAAAGAGAGAAGAAGCAAAATAATAATAAAAAGAAGCGAAAAATGCGATTAGAAAATTTCATATTTATCGAATATTTGTGGCATCATAAACAACAGGCACTTTGGGGAAAATATTAATCGATGTCCAAGCTGAGAAACAGGATACTTATTCATCATCATGTTGCAAGTCAAAAGCTTTCAACAGTATTAAAAATAATTTAGCTAAACGAAAGGAAACATTTATAATTAATTGTTAAAAATCGAGGAATATGTATGAATATATATATGTATATATGAAGGCCTAAGCTGAATGCAAAACCTTTAACTTCAATAGAATTGAATCATATTTGCATCACAAATAATAATCCAACTTTACTATCCAATAATTCCCATAATATTCCCTCATTTATACTGTTATTTAAGGACATTCTCCTTTAAGGATATTTGTCTTTAAATTTATAAATATTTAATAAACTACAATTATCCCTATATTCTTTTCTCTCTCCTTTCATTGCAGATCGTTGAGTGTCTATGAGGACAGGTGCAAGTTTGTGTTTTTTTTTTTTGGGGGGGGCTCACCTGCTCGTCCTGCTCACACACAGTCACGCGGGAGGAAGCGAGACGGCAGCAGACAGAGACGGCGACAGATGTGTGAGCGGCGGTGAGGAGCGGACTGTGGATTCCAGGGGCGGCGAAGGACGAAGGTCGCAGGACGCAGTGGACCATGGATTGGACTCGGTGGCAAATGGCCAGAGAGAGAGCTGGCAACCCAGGATCAGGATCAGGATCAGAAACAGTCTGGAACAAGCGTGAGACCAGATTGGAATGGTTGCCCATTTGATTCGTTGCGGTTTTCACACGTAGGTTCAATCAGTCAGTCAGTCAGTCAACCAACCAGTCAGCCAGTCAGTCAGTCAGTCAGTCAATCAGCCAGTCAGCCAGTCAGTCACCCAGTCACTCAGTCAGTCAGTAAATCAATCGTGCAACCAGTGCTCGATTGCCGTTGTCCCCTTCATCAAACGAAACTCAAGTAACTCAGATCAACTCAACGTAGCCAGCGATCAAGCCATGCACATTACTGTAAATATACCAAGTCGAAACTAGATTCATAAATATATACAATAAACCCAAAAACCCAATATTTAACAAATATAAAACACCAATTAAAAGCAAAACCAAAAACCAAAAAACAAAAGGCAAACATACCAAACAAAAGTGCAGTGTTCAGTGTTCTCAACGACAGTGGAAAAAGATACGGCAAGGCAGCAGATCGAGCGGAGGAAAGCCATCAAGGTGAGAGGGCGGCCAAGGGCTGCCCCGCGTACAGGAGGAAAATCGTCTCACCGGAAAAGCCGGAAAAGCAACAACAACAACAACTAATAAGCAACAACCAACAACAAACAACAGCATAACGCCCCCAACACTGCCAATGCCATTGCCATTATCAAGAACAACGTTCGTTCATCATCGTTCGTTTAGATTTGACACAAGTGAGTTCAGCTTAATTAGATCATAATCACAGTAAATCTATCAAATATCTATATATCTATATATATTGGGAAAGTCTCTGAAAGATTGGAAATCTTACACTTAAAGTGAGACCTGCTTTAAGGATCAAAAACCAAAAGCCTAAAAGGGGGTATTACCGATTTCCAATCTGCTCAGACTTTCCCATATTCATTTATTTATCTATCAATAGTTTTAAGTATTTCAACTGTAAATATAATCCTCTATAAAACTAGTTATCATTCATTTGAGGCGTTGAGACATACACTCATGAGCTTAGTGTATTTATTTATTATTTGATTAGTGATCGGGGAAGTCATAAGAGATAAAGGGTTTTCTCAAAACGAATAATAAGAAGATCTCTTAATTATTTCAATAATTAAATGTCCAAAAGTCAGCGCAAGTCAGAAATATTATATTGCTTACTTTTGGACACTATTTCATTAAATTTCAAAAACAACCAATTCGAGAGAATCGATTTATATTTTTATAAAACAATCAAATTCTTGTCTTTAAATAAATAAAAACAAAGCAAAAGTAATGATCCCACAAAGAACTCAACTATCAATTCACCACTAAATGGTAGACTTCTTGCAGGGATCTCAATGAATTACTCATTAGCGCGTCGAACTGATTAGTGAATAGAGTTTAGTGATTAGCGACTAGTGCCAAGTGCCATTAATCAGAGTTGCTTTCGATGAATCACTTAGCCGAATGGCGCCGCGAATGCAAATTCAGGCGCAAATGCACTCATTAGGCAACTAAGGGCGAGCTGTGACATTCAGCCGCCAGTTGCCATCCATCAATTAGTTGTGCACAATTGCGACGCCCACTCCAAAATGTCCCAATAGCCAAATATCAGTAGCTCCACCCACTTGGCATATTCGTTTAGGTCGGGGGAAGTCCCGCCGCGTCGGGGAACTCCCGCGTGTCCGCTTTCAATCGCAATCGCAATCTGCAATCTGACAAATCAAATCTTGTATGCAAAGCAGCCAAGCAAACCCGACAACTAGCAGCACGAGCGACAGCACACCCAAACGCCAGCAGCAAACACCAAGCCAAGCGACAAGCAATTTGTTCAAACATTTGTGCCAACAAAACGTCAGCAAGCAGGCGAGCAAAAGGACAGGCAAAGCAGCAGAAAAGCAGGTTGGCAAAGGTGGAGGAAAGCACGCAAGGGCATAGCACGGTAAGGCAGAGGGAAAAGCACGATTCGGGTCGAAAAAGCAGCTGAATAGAAAGCAAGCGATCGCGAGGAGAAAGGTGACAAAGCAGAATCAGAAGCAAAGCAAAAGTAGAATCAGGTACAAAGCACAAGCCAAAGCAGAAGCAGAATTAAAAGCAAAATCAGAAGGGAAAGTAGAATCAGCAGAAAAGCAGAATCAAAAGCAGAATTAGAAGCAAAAGCAGAATCTTAAGCAAAGCCGAAGCGAAATTAGTATAAAAAGCAAAAGCAGAAACCAAAGCATCATCAAAACAGAAACCAAAGCAAAAACAGAGAAGCAATGATCAAAGATAATTATAGTAACCAAAATAAAGGAAAAAAATAAATAAAATAATTATTAATTGAGCAGAAAAACTAGTTCGAAAAATGATAAATTTTTAAGCAAAGAGAGTATATAAAGCTAGCAAGCAGCAAGTGTAAATTAAAAAAGCACAGTTTAAAATTAGAAATCAAGCTAGAATAATTATTAATTGAGCAGAAAAGTGGGAAAAGCCGCGATAGCAAAAAAGCAGAATAGCAGAAAAGCAGAAAGGTAGCAAGGCAAGGAAAGCAGGGTGGGAAACAAGCTTGCGGGAAATCAGGAAATCCCAACTGCCGCTGGCCCCTAAGCAGCAGTTGCGTGACCCGCGAGTTTTGCACAATAAACAACATAATTGCTCATAAAGCCAACTGCTGCGAGTGACCAACACGCCGTTCTCCTGGCAGGAGTGGTGACGATAACGCGACCGTTTACGGCAATTACAAATCACCAAAGCCGCGAATAGTGACTTGTGAACTCTCTGAACCAGTACCTCTAACCCACACCCTCTGACCCAACCTCAAATACAAAAGAAAAAAAAAAAAAACAAAAATACAAATATATACAATTAACAAAAAAAATATAAAGAAAAAACAACCGGAGGTGACGCGCTATTAGGCAACGGGGCGAGGTAGCCCCTCAAGTCCGCCCCGGATGTATAAACCGGACACGCTCACGCGCCGCGGCAGCCTCAGATCCCTGCGCAGCGCCCCGCTCCTCAGCACGGTTCTAGAGAGCACGCTCTCCCTGACCCGCATCCATCCGATTGCCTCCTTGGAGCTACCGGGCCTCGACTATGCGGTGCATTCGCAGTCGGCCTTCGGTTTGGGGCTCGCCCATCCGCGTGACCTAGCCGCCCTTGGCACCTGCACCTCCCTGCGCAGTGGCCTTGCAGCGATCACCGCAGCCTCCGCCTCCGCCGCCGGCGGTGTATCACAATCGCAAAGCGCTTTACTTGGCCGCTACGGACCCAACGCCTCGATCCGTCACGGAGAGCGGAAAATAGTCCAGCCAAAACGGTAGGTGTCCTTCTATAAATCAAAACATATATATCCGTAGAGAGCTCGAGGGGAGATTAGCATTCCCCATGATGTGATGCAAAAGGTTATCCTGCAGGATTAGACTTAAGGATCATCTCATAGAAACCTCAAAAGAGGATAGTTTCATAACTCAAGGATAAGTTTAAAGGTGTTCATCATTATTTAAGGATATACAAGAAGACCCAACCCCCACTAGAAACTCCATTTAAGGAATTAAACAACAACACTTTATATTTAAAATCAATGCCAAGGTTATTAAACTTCAAGAAAAACAAATTTGCAGCAAATACGAATATATTAAATAGATGTGTAAATGGCGGCACTCACTCCTGCCAATCCCTCACCGGAGTCGCACGTTTCAAATTACCATCCCAGGGCAGACTATCGATATTCACTTGAGCCGCAATGGCAGCCTTCACTCGATTGGAGAATTCCACAGGTGTTTCGGCACTGAGCCGTCTAACCGGAGCCATATACCAAACATCACAGGCAATGCACCAGGAGCTAACCAACATGAACATGTAACGCAACATCGAATGCCGGCTGCTATTCCAGAAAGCCTCACTGAAGCGTCGATCATAGCTAATGGCTAGAGGATAGACAACATCGCTCACCGCAAAGCTACCCTTCCTGAACTGCATCACAGCCGTGTTATTGATGCAAGTCCCTTCCGGGAAAAGCAGAATCGGAGGACGATCTGCGGAACCGCCATGCAAGCGTAAGAGACATCCCAAGGCCTCGCGATCTCCCAAAAGTCGCCGATCGAACCACATTTGTGGTGAAACCCGTGAGAGAGCCCGCTGGAACAGCCCAATGATGCCATCATGGATCTGACCAGTTACTGTGTAGTAAGCATCCGACATTAATACCAGGACATCCAGGGGACTTGTATGATTGCACACACATATGCCCATGGTGGGTCTATGCTCGGTGTTGTGATATCTCCGAATGATGGGCAAACAGCCGGCCATGATGCGGAAACATTGCCGCAGGACTTGCTCCACCAGCAGCTGCTTCAGGTGACTCTCAGGCAGTTGGCCCAATATGGCAGCTATAATGCTGGTAAGGAAGAGACTTGCCCAGGCAGCCAGGGTCCTGAGGGGCAACAGCAACACATACCGAGTGAGCCAGCCAAGGAGCCAGACGATCCAAAGGCGCCAATGGAGATCACGCACTCGTTGCCCCAGATTCCTTGTGAGCAGATTCCACTGACCGGGTGGTGTTGGAGCGGCCACAAAGTGTGGTGTTACCTCATCCTCAAGGATCAATTCCATGCCCAGGTTAACCATGTTGCTCATTTGCTCCACTCGCCTCACAAGCCTGCTCTTAATATGCGGCGATGATAATCTCTTGGCCGGATCTTTGGGACCATCACCTATGGCACCCTGCTCCGATGCTTTCTCGGATTCCAGGTCGCTTTGGCCCATCTCTCGCTTCCGTGTGTCCTTCAACTCCTGGTTAATCCAAGCAAAGAGACGCTCTAGAAGGTTAATGTAGAGGGCTTGCAGCCAGAAAATGGAGGACCAGCAGATCAGGCACACGGTGGCCAACAGGAGCAACATCGCGTCAGGCTACTCAATTTGAGATATACAATTTATATGTTATAAGTCATTTGTGGAGAACTACAGGCTGCAAACGAAAGATGGCAAAACTTTAAACAGTGAAAACTAAGTACAAACTCCCAGCTAAGGTGATCTTTTTTGAGAAGAGAGAGAACTGTGTGTGACCTCCGGTTAAAAGGGAAAAATGTAAATTATTCCCAGTGCATTCCATGGTTTGAGTGTAGCCTCAGGAGTTTGCCCACAAATTTCCCAATTAAAGCCCTAATTCAATTTAGCGTCGACTTTTTGGCTTTTGCCTCGTATTTTCCCCCCTACATTTCCTTCATATTTTTCTCAGACCGCTTTGTTAAGCGCCCAAAAGACTTTTGATTTATTTAGCCCAAGATGTGAAGGAGGAAACCAGGAAAAAAATATAAGAAGAAGGACGAAGGAAACTTTGCCGTCGTCGTCTTCTCTCATTTTTTTTTTCTCTGGTTTTTGTTTTTGGACGGGTTTTGCGCTTATGGATTTTGGGTTATTCGGGTTCGGTTTTTTTTTTTTTTGGCCAGGCCCTGGCCCCATTTTGTTTTTTCACATGGCAATAATTCAATTATGCCATAACAAGGCCGCAAAATGTTTGCCACAGACGGCGGCAAAGGGGGTTGGGTTGTATCTCCTCTCTCGACCCGAAATCACTTAAGAGCCACAGAAACTTCTGGCTTTTGTTAATTCGTTAATTAAATGGGCCCGCGGAATGGCAAAGGCAGCGCTCTTTAAGGATTACGCAATGGCGCCGACTTCCGCCCACCATTGATTACATTGGCTGGCAACAATCTTGGCTTTGGCTTTGGCTTTCACTTTGGCTTATCAAATGCAAACAAACGACGACAGACACCGGCAACGTCACTGTCACCGTCACCGTCACCGTCACCGTCAACGACAACTCATTTAGGCTCAGGCCCGGGCCCTTAATTAGCATAGAATGTGTTTTAAAAAGCCACTTGAGCTAAACATTCAAAACACCTACAGGGTGTGCTTCCCCCGCCTTCCTAGCACCACCCATTTCCCACGACTTTTCCACTTTTCCACAGCGACAACGACAACGACAACGACCTTAGGCGCTTCTGCGGCCGAGTCTGCGTGTATCTGTATCTGTATCTGCATCTGTATCTGTGTGTGGCACAGTTTGGCAAGTCTGAGGAAAGCCGGACAGATTTAAATACTCTAACAGCTGAGGGCAAGAGAAATTAAGACGGCTCAGGTGACTATGACAGGGATTTTGTGTTAAAGGTTATGTAAATGGTAAATAAAATCTGATCAGAGGAAACAAGTCTGATCAGAAGGAATATATCTTGAATATATCTCAGGGCATTGAGTAAGCAACGATTATTAAATCTTTCAAACTTTGTATCTGAGTTTTTTTTATTTGTAAAATATATCTTACAGAATTTCCTTCTGAAATTATATATTTACTTGAATAAATTATTATTTATTTATGAATATATCTTAAATATGTTCCATTCAATATTACCTTTGTATCTGATCAGAAATAGAACTGTTATTTGTATGTACCGATACAGTCTGATCAGAATTGATCTATTTTTAAAATTTATCTTACAGATTTTTCCATCTAAAATTTCATATTTACTTGAACAAATTATTATTTGTTTGGGAATATATCTTAAATATATTCCTGGGCATAAAGTAAGCCAAGATTTTAAAATCTTCCAATAGTATCTATATTATATGTATGTATCTTCAAATATAATAATATAACTTCCCCTTCAAGTGGCTACTTTTCACTGTTCTGATCAGATATATACACCCGATATTTGTGACATTATTTTAACTATATATTTAATGTATAGTTAGGGTAAAATTCCTGACGACATAGGCTTTGGAAAGAGCTGAACGACAGCGGCAGCACGTGACGCTCAAGTGTTGGGATAAGCATTTCCGCTCTTCAGTCGTAACACGAAAAAAGCTACCCCCTCTTGTGACAAAGCGACTGTTGTCGCGGGAAAAGCGGTGGAAAAGCGGCGGAAAATGCGGGGGGAATGGCGGGGGAGTGCAGGGGGCAGGTAAATGAGGAAGCACAAAATGAAATTGTGACGCTGGCGTTCGCGACACGCCCACATGACGATGCGAGCGGCAACGCCCACCTGCCATTCAAAAGTAATTTAGCGTTTAAAAAACATTTTTCTGCCTGACTTTTAAAAAGTTGCGCGTAATGCGAGTCGCGTGTGTGCGACACACACACTACTGCATGTATGTGTGTGTGGTCGGAAAATGGGGAAAAGCTCAACACTCACCTGGTTGTTGTAGCCACGTTCCGATTTCGATGTCGTCGTCTGTCTGATCCGCGTGATTGTATTTTGTGTTTCGTTATGGCTTGCAAAAAAAAGAAATGGAAAAACGAAACCGAAAAAAAAGAAATGTAAGACTGCTACTGAATTTTCTTTATTGACTCTGACGTTTCACCAACCTGCTACGTGTGTGTGTGTGGGAGGGAGGGTTGGTTTTGTGTTTTAAGGGGTAACCCCCGGGGGGGGGGGGGAATGCTGCTCATGGAAATGCTGCTTAGATTATGAAAAGGCGAGGGGAAAAAAAATAGAAACGCCGGATAATGAGATTAGGGAAGTTGTTAGCGCTTAAGTACAAAATAAAAAGTCAGCTACTCGCCCCTAAAAAAATATAATAATAATAATGCGAGTTCAACGCCAGTAAGTGCTGGCGAAAATGAGATTAAACGAGATCAATTTGTTCATAGAGGAGAGAGTAATTTCATTTTTAACTTTCCGCCCATAATGTAACCTTTAAAATCTGCATAAAGAACATACATTAAGACACATCATCAGCTTATAATTTAAAGGTTTCAAATGATTAAAGCATCATTCTCCTTTTGTTTCCATTGTATGGCACAATATTGACACAAGTAACCACATAATGAATTAAAATAAACAATCAAGTGAAGGCAATGCAAACAAAACTCCTCATCCCAATGATATTAGCATACTTTGGGTGTAATTATTTCCATAAGTTTCTCACCTCCTCTCCCCCCCTTTAAATTTTCTTTAGATTTTTATATGAATTCAACACCCACCCCCCGTGGGAAATTTTTAAGCGTCCCCTCAGCCAAGTTAATTAAAAAAGTGTTGCCATTTGACCCTTGAAACTCCAAGCTCGAAGCTTGGAACTTGCAACTCTGAGCTTGGAACTCGGAAATCCCTTTGACACTCGATGGGAAAAATGGTGCGGGGGGAGGGGGAAAACCCGCCCGCATTTCGCCATAATTGGTTTATGCCATTTACCCGGCTTGTTTACATTTGCATAATGGAAATGGACCAAGAACAGGGCAACGAGAATGGAAAAAACAGAGACACAGAGAGAGAGAACCAGGAACCAGAATCAAATATACAAGAAATGTGATTTATAATTTTTCCCTTGTTGAGCCGGGCATTTTAATTAGCCCCGGAAAAAGCGGAAAATGCGAGATGAGGCCCCGAACCCATCGCCTAATTATGTGGGGGGGGGGGGTCTCAGCGTATTGTTGTTTGTGTCATCAAGTCATTATTTAATATAAGTCGCCAGGCTCTTGATAAATTATTTCCGTTTGATGGACACTACGTGACGAAAGTTTCCAGGAAAATCTCCAGGATAAGGAAGTGGGCAGGGAGAGGGGGATTTGTATATATATTTTTGATTTGCGGCCGCATCTTCAAGTTTGCCAATCATCCATCCTTGGAGTCTCGTTTATTTGCGGCAATTAATCAATTTGGTTGTCCGCTTGCCGCAGTTTATCCTCGAATAAGTGATAGAGATTTATCACTCATCCGCCCCGTTGCCACGCCCTTAAAGCCGCCTTAAAGTCATTGCGGCAAAAAAAAAAGGAATATAAAGTCTTGCACTCGGCGCACTCGGCATTCATTGAACCAAACATTTTGACTTTTGCGCCTGAACGCACCTGAAAAGCTCTTGGAAAATGGACGAATTGAGTGTGCCGCCTGCGGCGAGGAGTGGTTGCAAAAATGCGGAATGGGACATCGGCATCGTCATCATCATTGCCATATATTTTTTACTAAGAGCCGGCAAAATTGCAGTCGTAATAAGTAGGGAATAGCAAACAAGCCGAAGCCGAAAAATGCTCTACAAACTACAAGATATGTTATCTCTTTGACCAAACTTAAAGGTAAATTGACAGATAAACTAAATTAACATCTTGAATTCTAAAATATATATTTATAGTCATATAAACAACTACACTCTCATAAATATTTAAATGAAATTGATAAATTTCCAGTGACTAAAACAGCGAATCCCAGAGAGAGCATTCACAGCTACAAGCGTTGAAAATGTTCAACATAAATCTTTAAAGAATGCTATAGGCGGGCTGCATATACATACATATACATACTTTTCTATATACAGATATATACATATATATATATACTTCCCTGTTTGACCCCCGATTTCCCAGACAGCCATTTTCCTCGCCATCATTTAGCCGGTTGCATTTTCGACTCTGGTTTTATTTTTTTTTTTTTTTACTTATTTGAAGCGCTTCCATGTGGGAGGCAAAACCGAGGTCAATGCACCCGCAAAAAGTAGGTGGAAAAGCCGGGTGAGAATTCGGAGACGAAAAAGAGAAAAAGAAATAAATGGGGAAAACTCGCTCACGATGTTTACGTTTTGAGCCGCGCTTTTCGGGGCTTGTCAACGTCCTCAGCCAAGCCTCCCTCCCCTCCCCTCCCCGCCCACTGACGTATTACTGGAAATTCCCGCTGCTGTCCCGGGGTACCTTTCGCAATTTCTTAGGTGCAAAAAGTTGCACTTCACCTGCAGGATGGCTGTGTTTCCGCGGCGAGCTGCTCCCGGTCCTGTGGCTCGTCCTGTGGGTGGGTGGGCGTTCCGCCTGTGCCAAGTGAAGTGTAGGCGCAAAGGCGAAACACGCGAAACTTGTCGGTGCAATGTAATAAATTTCGAAAAACGTCCGAACGCACGGCCCATAACGAATGGCTTGGCCAATGCACATGGACAAGTGCCACCCTGGAACCACCCTAGCGATGCCAGAGAACCACCCATTGCAACGGGCCAGGCCACCGCCTTGTTAGGCCGCTGCAATAAGTCTTTTATGGCTTAGAGAGCCGCCGACAGAGAGCTAAAAACTTTTATCATTAAAGAAAAGGTGAAATTTGGCCATAAAAACGCAGACACAGACACAGGCACACCCATATGTATATAACCCACCTCCTCCTATACACACACTATAATGGCAAAACCGGCAAACGTGACTCACAAAATCCGCTCACGTGACCGAGTCAATAAAGTGTAGTGCAAAAGATTTGCGAGTAAATGAATTTCCCCTCCTTTATATCCGTTTTTGCCGCGTGCCCAACACTGCTGATGCTTCGCTTGCACTTAACCAACACTGAGGCATCGTTTTGGGATCTTTTAACCAAATTTCTAAATCGAAAACAAAGCTAATTAGATAGGAAACTAACTTCGAAAAGCTGAAGCTTATATACCTTAAAAGTTTGCAATTGAATTATAGGACGGAATAGAAAATTGGCCATAAGTAAGCTTCAAATATTCGCATTCTTCGAGTATATATTTATTGATATTTTTTCATGAGAATTTTTCCGATCAATCATAAATTAAAAAAGGCATAACTCAGCCAAAAAAGCCTTCATTTCTATTTGGAAACCTTACCTATCTTAGTTTTTAATAGGTTAATAAGTCTACATACTCAATTTAAAACTTAAAATTTGTGTAAATTTTTGACAATTTTTACAATTGTCACCCCTTACAAAATTTTGATAAAAAATTGTACAATTTTTTTTCTGTCCGAGATGGCTAGATAAACCCGGCTATTGATGCTGATCAGGAATATATATGAATTACAGGGTCGGAAATGACTCCTTCACAGCTTCTGACTAAAATTATAATATAATATTTAGAAATCTCTTTCTTGTCATTTCAATATTTTATTTAATGCTTGTTTATTACTCTTGTTATATAATAATTCAACAAATGTTAAAATAAAGTCCTAAAATATTACCTATATATTAATTTCTAGTAGTTCGATTCCAGAGGCTTTTGTAGACCAACAAGTTTTCCCAAAGTATATGTGGAAAACGAATCCCTTATCGATCATCCTGACCCCGGTTATCGAACTTGACTTTGCCACTTGCCCGGCCCTCGAGTGTTTCCTTCGAATGCTCTCTTTTGGGGATTTTCCGACCCGTTTTCCAAAAGGCTTTCCCAGGCTTTCCTTATAGGTAACTGAACTCGCACGTACCAGCCAGCGAGCAAATCCGCCCACTGCACACATTTTCACCTGCTGCGCCCCACTTTATTTCATTTCATTTCCTGCCATTTGCAATTTTCCATTTCGGGTGAACTGCAACTGCACATTTTATTGATTTCGAATGCCATATTTTGGGTACTGGGGATTTAGGAGGAGTGAGTGCCTCTCATGCAAAGTACTCGGTATTATGGCTCGGGCAAGGGGAGTCCTCTATATGTGCTTTATGCCTGCTCTTTTGGGATCCGTTTTTGGCAATTTGTTAATTGTATTTCATATGCAAGCGTCGCATGCATTGCAAATTTTATTAGCTTGGTTCCCAATGCAAATAGAGGAGGTATGTACATAGTATATGGCATGGCGACGCTGTTCGGAATTGAAACATAAATGGAAATCAACTTAAATATGCATGGCATGTAAATACTGTGAGGCAAGTTGATGCCTTCAAGGGTTCATTGGTTGTCTCTTCCGCTTTTATGGTTTAATTCGATTAAATATTGTATTTTTGCATAGTTCTCTTAGCGCTTTTTTTTTGTTCAGCTGCTGACAGCCTTTGGCATAATTTCCTTACCATATATACTTGGGGTTTCTTTAAATTCAATATTTACACAGAGGAAAATACAAAGCTAAAGGAAATCAGGAATAGATTTAGGGTTTAATTGAAAAGGCATACAGAGAAACAGGGAAATTTTAAGCAGTTTGCTTTCATTCCCGCTTTTTCCCAGTGCATTTCCACCCTTGAAAGATTTCCTCTTAATCTCTTATCGCCAATTTGGAATCTGCAGCTTGATTTTGGCAAATTTTGTTTTTTTTTTGTTTTGTTCTTCCCATCTAGCTCAATTAGCTTGACATTCCTTAAAGCTGGATTTACTTACATCCCCCGGATTTTCACCCCCTCTACGCTTCGGCTATGTAAATTCATACTTGCAGAGCAAACGCTCAGAAAAAAAGAAAAAACTGGGCAAGGGGAGGGAAGTCGCTGAAAGGAAAACCAAACAAAAGTACACACAAAAGTTTAGCTGAGCAGAAGGAACAGTTGGGCTACAAAAAAAAAAAAAGAAAAAAATATACATATAACTGCAAATATTTTCTTATGCTCGTATGAAATGTAAGCATGTAAATACCAGCACCCACACACACGCTCTGCTGCCTGATGGGTAGGAAAACACATCCACAGACATGCATAACTTTGCTG